ATTTTTTCAAAAAATCACAACTGAGCATTAAGACCTGCAGTGTGAACGTAGCCTTTGTCAGAGCTTTCACCATTTTCATTTCTCTCAACTCATGCCTTTGTATTGCAGGGCACTTTAATGGGAAATGTCAAGTTTTTTCTAAAACAAATGAAATTTGATAAGCTGTATTTCACTAACCAGCCAGACATTTTAATCATCCTTGTACGTTGCCAAAGTGATACAGATAACTGAAGAGAATTGGGAAAAAGTCACGATGACCGTGCATCGAGATTACCCTCAAAAAAAGGAGCAGAGCTCAATCAAACAGGAATTAAAATGAAGCAATAATTACATCTATTGGAGAAAAGAACTCCCTGCACCCTCGTTGTAGTTTAAACCAGTGCAACGAATTTAAAAAACATCTCAAGCCCGCTCTTCACAAAACACAAATAACCTCCGAACTCGTCTAATCGTACGAGGGCACACAGAGAGGCGCAGCTCTGTGCTAATATCAACTCGTGGATAAAAACGCACGGCACTCCGATGATGAGCGAGGGCTGACGGGTCGGGGCGCCCTGACCCACTAATGAGAGGCCGAGCGTAACCACATCCGACAAGAGCAACACTCTGTAACGGCTCTGATAAATGAATAAACAGCTGTAATGCAGACTAAGTGTCCGTGCATCTCGGTAACAACCTTCTATGAAAGATAACAGTAAACAGATACAGGACTGAGGGGGAAAAAATCAGCTCRTATCTGTGTAAACCCTCTGTTTGAACCAATGGGTCTCACTCTTTAATAATCCTCTAATGTTAGATCTTAGGATAGTTTTTAAAGTCTCTGCTTCTTGGTAAACTTTGTCTTTTTTTGCACACGGTTCAGTTTTTACACATGAGTCATTAAAATCAAAATATTATTAAAGATTTTTTGCAGCAGAGGCCCAATTGGACAGATTTTTTTGCAGCAAGTTTCAGGAAAGTTTCAGAGATTTGTTTCAAACTTGATGCAAAGCTTGTCAGAGAGCAGAAAGTCGTGTGTGTGTGTGTGTGTGTGTGTGTGTGTGTGTGGACAGGCTCTTACATGTGGACGTGTGGAGGTTGGAAGCGGCTCTGGTTGATGTTGTAATGTGTGAAGGCCTGCGTGGGGTTGGAGCTGTACTCGTCCACCGTGATGGTCACTTTGCCATGAGCCATCCTTCCGCCGTTTGGACATGAGACGCCGTTTGTTCACCGGGATTCAGCAGCGAGCCGTGCGGCGGTCATCCTTCAGAGCCGCTCAGGAAAGCCCAGGAGTTCTCCCAGCAGCAGCAGTTTCCCAGCCCACCGATTCCACCACGACACGCTGCAGTCTGCACACAGACACAGGCGGGCATCAGATGCTGTGCATCAGGTATGAAGCTCCTATCAAAAAAAGAGCCTGAAGCTGACATTTTACACACAAAGAGGTACAAGAGGCATGTAAAATGAAAAACGACGCATTTTAGGAATCCGACAAACACTACATTTAACAAAGTTCACTGTTTTTTAGATCACAATTATCTAAAAACGTCAAACAAGCTTCAACAAACTGATCTATTAAACATTTAAAAAATAAGTGAAGATACCAAAACATCTAAAAGTAACATTGCTGCAGACCTGCTACTTTAAAACCTGTTGGTTCTGATGCAAACTAAATGTGTCCATGCATGAAAAGAATTAGCAACTGGTTGRTTAAGATTCGTTCCCCAAATAATTCTCGCCTAAAGAAAAATCCCTGCCAGTGACGAATCGGTGCAAAGCCTTCAATAAGACAAGAAATTCTTCAGAGGGCACACATGAAACAGGTCTTGCTTCCCCACCAGACATCAGCCCACACACTCAAAATAAACATAAAACGATTGTGTTCTTCCAGGCCTGGTGCTCCAGTTCTGTAATTAACRAGGAACATTTGATCTGGCAGCTGAAGAGATCAGGCATCTTTGCATTAAAAGAATCTACGAAAAAAAAAGGGGGTTCTGCGTCGCTCACCTGGCTTTCCGAGGCTGTACGACTCCTTGCACCTCCTTCCTTCTCTGACCTGCCTGACTGTAAAGCAAGGAGCTGCTGTGGGCTTCACGTGCGTTTTATACCAGATGGTCCTGATGCAACCACACATCAGGAAAAAAAAAAACTAGGTATATATTTATATAAAATGCCCTCAATTTAATGAGTCTGTCACCTTTAAAGTCAATCAACTGCACTTTATTGTTCAACGCATGTAGTGATCAGTAAGAAAAAAAAGTGCCCTCAGAATATGTTAACACAAACAACTCCAATTTCAACTCAAAAATGTCCTATTTTCACAAAAAGCATTGATTTGTGTTTTCTGGGTCATCTGGATGCTACTCTTCTGATGCACGCTGCTCATCAGCAGAGTTTTTCCCCTGCCTGAGTGTGTGAACCAAACTCATTCAGATTCATTCAGCTTTGCACAATAAAACATTTTCTTTAAAAAAAAATAAATTTAAAAAGCTGATTTCTCCAAGCATTTTTGCTGCTGGAGAATGCATTTATTTMTTTCATATTAAACTGCAAATAAAAGCTCGGGTTTAAACAATCACTTCTCTCAGACCCAAACCCTACAACCACACAAATTAAATGATGTTTTAAGTGTAAATATAGGTTGAATCACGGCTTTATAGTTTGCAGCACGCCTCGCGCTCTCCTCGGCGCGTGCCACTGACTGCATGTGTGTGTCGGGCTGCTGAAACTACCTTATGGCTACAGTAGCAGCGACTAGCTCTGTAGCTTAGCCTGCTAAACCTGCGCTGGGAATAGGTTTTTATTCAGCCGTAGCTTGGCGCTGAGCTGCTTCTCTACAGGAGAACACACACACGGTCTCWCACACACACACACACCGTCAGCAGAACACACACGGCGCCTGGTAGCTAACTTCGCCGCTACAGAAATCAGCCCCGTCAGTAGCAGCGGGGGTAAAGGCGAATAAACTGACCCTTTCTCATGCCGTGCATAAACACGGTGTGTGCCATGAACCGCTCGCTGGAACAAAAAAAGAAAGGGTCCGCTCAGTCCTGAACTCTGCTCCGTAAACAGTACAAACAAAAAAAAGCGGGGACCCAGAGGCGGTCAGTGTCAAAGCACCGCCGCGGTAACCTCTTGCTCTTCCTCGGAACTGACAAGCCACCTTTAACCGACGGCTTTGTGTCAGGAATTTCTTTTCCACCCTCACCGTCTCCCCTCCCTCCCGTTTCGGCTACCCAAAGCAAAGCGGAAAGGTTGCTTTACCTTCGTTTTGTATGTTTTTTTTTTTTTTCCTGCGGGGGTATCTGGTCGGGGAAAGAGCGTCAGGTCGGGGTCGCCCTCTTCTTCTACGCGGTGGAGGCAGAAGCAGCGGCGGCGGCGGAGGGACTCGGATCCATGCGGCGACAGCAGCAGCGGCAGAGCGGGGTGAATCGTGGGAAGTCCGGGGTGTTGCGGTAATCTGCGCGGGCAGGGCAGAACCTTCGACCCGGCGGGACCTCTCGGCTGGCTCCTGTGGAAAGAAAAACCAGACAAGGAGG